TATTTCTTATCTGAGCTTTAATTTTTTTTAATATTACTTAAAATTAAGTTTCTGCATGTTTTTATTCTTTAAATGTGACAAAAAGGCATATATTTTTAAAAACATTCTTTTTACACGTCAACGCACTTTACGAAATGCCTCCCCAATCGATCATTATAAAGTGAAATTTTCAGATTAAAATTCGGCTAATAACTGTAACAGGTTACGGATTTATTGGTTTACTTTCGTATTGACCACAACCGGACTGGGGAAGGTAATATGTTCTTTATTTTGCACAGCAAAAATAGAAGACAAATCATTACATTTTATCGTCTGTAAGAATTCATTTTATTATTTAAGAACCATAAAATTTTTCACTTGCAATTAATGTCCACTCCACAAGATTTTATGTCGTTCTTTTCTTTTGAAAACGATATTTTTTATTCTTTAATTCTATCTTTTGTCATCAGATCTTTTTGTATCTTGATGATCGCACACATGTAACAGCAAAGTTTACAGTTTTTTGTTTTTTTGGCCCACTTCTAAAATTCTCTAAATATCGGAACAAATTACAAGTAACTTCTCCAGGGAATATCTTTAAATATTATCCGTATATTCTGTTATGAATAACCAAGATTGGTCTCCTTTTGTTTTGTTACTTTCGTCTTTGAGGGAGCTGTTTACTGGGACTATAAAAGGACACTATACACGAATCTTTTATTCTCAGTTGAATATATATTTCTTAAAAACTACATCTACGTACTTTTGTCATTACATATACATTGCATGCTTATTGGACTAAAAAAGGTAACCTTAAAAAATCATTAAAATATTTTTATTTTGATCAGTTAAGTAAAAGAGCGAGAAAGATTGTTACAACAATTTTTTAAATTACAAAATGCTTTCTTAGCTAGAAAAACTAACATTCAAAATTATGTTTTTTAATTGGGCATGGACTACGATCTATGGGAATAGTTGGGAGGGTCATACTGTCAAATACCCTGCACTTTTATGATGTTTAAATTTAAAAGTTAACAATTGATAAATCTTGTAAAATGAGAAATTCATTAGGACATCTACAGAACTATAAAGTTGAGCTCGAAATGGCATAAGATTCCTCATTTTGTTTTATAGCTGGAAAAAAAAATAAAGGGAATAAATTTATTTTTTGGTCTCTGTGACTATTGAGATGCGTTGTATCTTTTTTCTAAAGCTATTACTACCATTAGTTTTCAAATAAAGCGTCCTGGGTAAGACGATAAACTACGTCCGATAGCAAGGCCTCTGATCAGGTGGTTTAGCGGAGCATGGAACCACCTCTTAATTGCTGATGTTTCCAGGTCCACACTGACCTGGAGTGGTAGCGCCTGTTAGGGTCCCAGGTTTGGGCAGGTATTTACTCCCCCTAAGCAGGGGTCAAACCACTGTGAAAGTGTTAAAAGAGGTTTTAATACCAGCAATACCTTTTATGGAAAAAATATTAACAGCAGTACATTTTTAAAAAAATATTACCAGCAAACATCTAAAAAAAATATTACCAGCAATACAGTTTTGAAAAAAAATAAAAATATTACCATCAATACATTTTTGAAAAAAACGTTACCACCAATACATTTTCAAAAAAAAAAAAAATATTACCAGCTACAAATTTTTGAAAAAAAATATTACCAGCAATACATTTTTGAAAAAATTTTTTACCAGCAATAAAAATGTTGTCGGCATTAAATAACCCATTGAGGTTGATATGCCGTAAAACAAAAGAAAGCAAACCAAACCAAACCATAAATAATAAAACACTCTCTTCCTTTTTTTAATCAAAACTTCAACTTCTAAAACTTGTATATAAGTCTCCTATGCGGAAAAATCGATAGAAAAATCGATAGATTTAATTTCTGAAAATAAGTAGTAACGACCAGCTAAAATATTTTATTTAGAATGAAAAGTAAACAAAAACAAAAAGAAATATTTAGTGCTGACTAATCGATCTATAAACATATTCATATGATTTAGCATATGATTGATATGTGACAAGCATATGATTATGATTCACATATGATTATGATAATCACATATGATTATCATTAACATATGATTAAACATATGATTAACATATGATTATTCATATCTGTCTATATTTCTGAGATGTGGTATTGTGACTATTTACACTATTCACATCATTCAGACTGTTGTCCTCATTTTTATTGCAATATTCACGACGTTACAGTCTTTATACACTCTGGCCTTCTTCAGATTTCCAAGGACATATGGCCCAGTGGATAAAAGTGTTAATTGGAGTAATTCAAAAAGTGACCTGACCTAAAGAATTGTTAGCCACAGCAGGTATTTCCATGACTATAAACCTTCCTGGAGCCGAGCCACAAGCTTAAATATGCTCTGTTTACTAGCTGCGGCGAGAGCCTTTTTGCTCTTGACTACTATGTCATTGCCATACAAACAAAATCGGACGAGTGATTAATGTAAACAATACGTGGCACCAGTATGTGATGGACGTATGGTGTATGTGTTGTTGTATGAGAATGACTTTTTTTTCTTAGAAATTTCTTTCCAATATTAGGGTGCGTCTTCCATGCCGGAAAATACGGTAATTGATTTTTTTTTTAAATAATTTATTGCACAATTTACACATTAACATATAGTTCAAATGCACAATAGAGCATTGCATGCAATTCATTATATTAAGAGCAACCGCTTGTTTTCCCTAGATAATTATTTGAATCTACCAATAATTGCTTCCGCATCCAGTTCATCTAAAAATTCGTTTTCAGTGGATAGCAACATGTATTATTCTAAATTCTCCTCAGACAGCGAATTTCTTAAGCTTGTCTTTATGATCTTTAGCTTTGAAAATGTCCTCTCACATTGGACTTGAATAACTGATAGTGTGCAGATGACTTTATATTTTCATTTTTATTGCTAAAACAGTTGTTTGTGTTTGATTCTTTCTTGCATTTTTATTTAATGTAGGGGCCCCACTTCATCAAGGCCCCACTTCTTATCGGGCAAGCTGACACCCTGGCCAGTCTGCCACTGCAGGTTAGAATCTCGTTGTTCGATTATACGTATTATTTCATTTAACGTTGCCAGTATCTGTTCAGCGCAATTATTAAATTAGCGATTCAAATCCGTCATCAGTTTTATCGATGAATGCATATCTTTACATTCTAACAGCGTTATGTTTGTTTCCCCATCGAAACGATTTTTTTTTATTTCGGCAAAATGCAAACTTACGCACAAAATATCATAATATCTAAATTAAATATCATAATATCTAAATTAAAAATATTGGCGTTGACATTATCATATTAATATGAATTCTCATTGTCCATAAAATGGAGTTGTTAGCATTAATGCAATAAGATAGGAACCGTAATTCATTAATGCTTTAAGAGAAAATTATCTGCTATGTATTTAGAGATTCTTAATAAAATCCAAAGAAGAATCTACAATGTTATCGGCCCTGTCATTCCATATCGGCTTCATTCACTTTCCCGCCGACATAACGTAGTCTACTTATGACTTTTCAATAAATATTTTTATGGTAATTGTTCGCATTAGCTTTCCTCGTTTAAGCGCAGTACTAGATTGGCAGCAAGGTCTCATTTACAGTTGAAATAGTCAGATGTAACTATTAGTTCTATGATAACAGTTTCTTTTCAGGTGCTTCTCGCCCGGCTTCTTGTCTTCCAGTCAACGTTGATCTTCAAAAATGTAAATGCAATGTCAAACGTTATCTTCTGCCTTCTTGATTCCCGTTGTTTTATTGTTCTCTCTCCTTAAAAATGTTTTCTTTTTCTCATATTCTCTCGCACTCAATAAACCCACTTGGGTCTTAGTGGATTTATTGTCTTTCTTAGGAGTGATTAAATGATTAAAAAAAAAAAAAAAAAAAAAAAAATTAATACCAGAATTTTATTGGTAGAAACCTATAAATAGATTTTTGGGCACTCAGAAGAAATATGGAAGTCAGTAGGAGCAGATTGAAACAATGTGTAACCTATCAAGATTGTATCATGGAAGAACAGGAGATGGATAGGGTAGTAAAAAGATAAAAATTGTTAAGCGCTGCAAAAAGTAGGAAGTCGTGGAGAGTCATGATCGCTAGCATCCAGAACGGACACCGTATAAAGAATAAGAATAGTAATGGCAATGATAATATTTGCCGTTTCCCTATAAAGATTTGGTATTCATTCATTGAGCAGCCAGTACTATTTGCAAGGTCTCTGCCTGAACTCTGTCATTTTATTTATTAATTATTCGCCAATTTCACTTATCGCTGTTGTCTTGATCTTTGTTGTTATTACAACAATGTTTCGGCCGTTGTAACCTTTCGGCCTTCCGGTACTTCTCAGTCCAGATAACCTTTAGAGAATTTCGGACTGAACCCTTTATTCACTCTACGGGGGTTGTTTGTTCTTAATTCGCCATTCATGCTTAGTGATATTGCGTTTGGTTCTTTAGTTTTTGCTTAGTACAGCATAGTTATAAGTGGATTAAAGCGCTATTTGGTGAATTGGTGGAATTAGTAATTGTGAGTTCAATCCCTAGGCCTGGCAGGGAGAGCGATAACTGGTCATAACTAAGTAAAGAACAAGATGAAATATCCGTAAACATGGACTAACCCTGCAGATTAAATAATGGTTTCAGTCCGAAGTTCACTGAACGTTCAACGTATCGAGAAGCACATAGAAATGTTGTTTGTTTTTGTTTAGCGGCATGTCAACACTTCTATGGGTTATTTAATGCCGAAATCTACATATTTTGTTTGTAATATTATTTATTTATTTTATTTTATTTTATTTTATTTTTAGATAATAATGGTTTTAGTGATACAAGTCTTACTAATTAACCCATAGTTGTGGGGGAGAAGAGGTGGGTTCATTCCTTTCCTAAGGGTATTTGCACCAAAGTGAATATAACGAACCGGGCGGGAATTGGAACTCGGCTTTCCGATGAACAATTCAGAGTCATTATCCATTACACCACCCGCACACCCCGGCTTAAAGCACCTGCTATTCCCAAGCGGTAACCTATTTCGGTACTGAACAGGCTCGACGTTGCTTAATGCCGGTGATCGTACGGGAACCGATGTTTCAACGTGATATGGCCTTAAGCCACCTGAAGGAAGGCCTAAGGACACAATGACGGAAACATTGTGATAACAGCAAAAACGAGGACGTTAGTCCGAGTGTAAATAATGTAAACACTCCAGAAATTTAGAAAGAAATTAGTCTTCAGAAGTTGTACTAGTAGTTTCAGTATACAATATTGGGAGTAGCAGTATCTGCATCAGTAGTCAAAATAGTAGTTTTAAATAAAATATTAGCCTCACTAAATTGCAGTAGCAGTTCTTGCAGAGTCATCGTAGCGGTCATGTTATTGTTCGTCCGACGTGGAACAAAACTATGGTTCTATGCATCATTCTAATAAATATATATATAATTCATATTTGAAAACACAGGGCAAATTATAGCGTATGTCTTTAGACCGATATCTCGTTTGGAAACTGAAATGTTAGATTTAAGAGTCAGGGTGTTTGTTGAATAAGCCACGGCCCAGTATTTAGTTACAGCAGCACCGCCTGTATGGTAATAATAGTAGTAGCAGTCCTAATCGAGAATATGGCTTGCAGGATCAGCTGTTACGTTGGCGTACTTGGCAGTAATAATGAAGTCGGTGGCCTAGCTACCGGCGACTACATCGATTGCTAAATAAATATAGGTCTACCACAAGTTTTTTTTTTATTTATTTATATTATTATGTCGTGGGCACTTCGACGTGGTTTAATAGCCAGTCAACTTGTTTCACTAGATTAATTACGAGTGAGTGGTGAAGTTGATCCTCACTGAGTGCTAACCTTCATAATATAATAATAATAATCTAACCTTCATAATATAATAATAATAATATAATTGTACCACATCTAAACACCGTTTAGTAGATGGCTATATTACTGTGTCGTTTTTAAGAGAGATTTTTTTCTATTATTTGCTCCATACTTGCACCCTTGCCACATCTTAGCTAAACTTTAGTAAATCCCAGGGTACTTCGATGTGGTGCAATGGTTACCAAGATTGTCCTCTTGATTTTGTCTAAAGACAGAATACAGCCTCTCTTAAGTCTTTTGAGGTTTTGACGGGTCCAACTAACACCAGTTATCTTTATTTTGTTTGTTTTGATAATTTAGTTCACCTTGCGTTCACCCCACTCTCTGCTCATTGTATATCATTTTCAGGTTTTTATATATAGAATTTTATGCTCATTAAATGTTTATCTCATGGGGGTGTGTTTTGTACGCTCCCTTAGTGTATGAGGTATTATGGTATATGGAAGATTGAATAATGATGTAAGAATTCTTGTAGTGGTTGTCCAAATGGTAACGTGTGAATGTGTCGTGAATCGGATTAGTTAGGTATAAGATAGTAAGTGACGACCAGCCATAACCCATTTCCCCTTTTAGGTCTTGTGCCAAAATTGTATTTTATATACAATAAATCTCGGTTACCAAGCTCAGTTACGACTGAGTAGTGAATTCATTCCACACCAAATGCTCCATACCTGTACCCTTGTGCCACATCTAAGCAATGCTTATTAAATCACTATAATAAGAAAAGACATAAAAAAGCATAAATGTTTCAGTCTATATTTCTGAGATGAGTTATTATGTACACTATTTGCATTATTCGGACTATTTTCCTCATCTTTTTCGCCATATTTATCACAACGTTTCAGCCGTTGTACGCCTCGGCCTTCTTCAGGTGTTTGGAATGTCGAACTGAACCCTTTATTTCGCTCACTGGGGCTAGTTCCACATGCCATGTTTTAATGGATGTCAGTTGTCATTTATCTCCTGTTAATTCCCCTCTCCAAGTTCTACCGGGTATTGAACTCACACCCTTTGGATAAAGGCGTTAGTTAGATCCAGTGACAGGACCCAAAGTGTGTGAGTTTAATACCCGGCCGAAACGTTGTAATAAATATGGTGACAAAGATGAGGACAATAGTCCGAATAATGTAAATAGTGATCATAAATGTTATCTCGTGTACATAGACATTTCGTTTGATAAACTGTCAGTAAAGGAATTTGGTAAACTTTCATTATATAAGGACTTGGAAATACACATTATAACCAGTATCCCGATAATAATAGGAATACTAGGAATAATGATGCGCATATTCAGGAAATTCCAGGAAACGCCTATCTGAGATGCAAAAGATTGCACTCACGAGCTTGCACACATACTCAGAAAAAATATCTCAATATAACATACCAAATAAACTTCTCTAAGAAAAACATTTTTTGCATTAGATCTCAGGTAAGAGATTTGGTAAAGAATTCTATGAAGCAGCAAATCCTATACAGGGGGTGGCTGCAAAAGTAGGTATACAGTAAGTATTATACAAACATTATATGTTTGTATAATCAATACAGTAAGTTTTATGCGCACTTTTACCATCACTGTATATCTACTTTTGCACCGTGTATATTTACTGATCGAAACGTAGTAATCAATATAACAACGATGCTGATAATAGCCTGAATAATAGTATTTTTTGTTCACGGCATAGGTGAGATCTTGGTTTTCTATGGATTCCTTTTTTTTATTATTTCTTAATTGCCAAATAGTGATGTTGTTTCCGATGTTTTCATGATTTTGAATATAGAGTTGTCCTTCTCTTAAACTGGCTACCAACCAAGGCTTGAACGTCCAGTTTACCCTGCTGTCTAAGTATTAATAATAATCAGATATATTATCATTATTAGTAGTACTAGTAGTGGAGGTAGTAGTAGTAGTAACTGATGCTTTACATTATAGAATAAATAACAGAATGTCCCATTTATAATCCACCACCATCTTCAGTATTCTACTTATTTTCTTAGTGCCGTTACTAGGATGGTTTCGAATCTACTCCGGATTTTAATTTTGATCTGACTTTTCAGTAGGTTTTACAGGATCGTTCCTAGTTCTCCGACAACGACTGGCACAGCTGTCAGCTTCGTGCTATATAATTTCTTGAGCTCTCTGATAAGTCCCAGATAACAGATAATCATTTTGCTTTTCGATTTGCTGAAACAGCGAGATCCACACCTTCATACATACGTTTCTTCCACTCTTGTTCAGAATAATTAAGCCCCGTCTTCTGTATCGTATTGGGATACCCGTTTAGATCTCAAAGTGCCGGAGGTTTTTATGTCTGTTCATTCTCCAAATGAGATTTCCATTTCTGCATAGACATTAGTCTGTCTGATTCAATCCCTGTTGCTTGCACAGTTCCCAAGGGACTGCCATTTCAACCCAGTCATTTCTATTTTTGTACTCTTTCTAGGCTAGCTTGCTGCATTCGCTCATTATGAATTTGATTGTCCCTTTCTCTATCTCCGCATCTTCCGCGTTTGTTATTCTCCTGCGCCTTATCTATCCGCGCTTTTACATAATTGGTTCTTCTGCTGTTGGTCTCGGCCGCCATGAACAACGGTTCTGTGGCTCTTTTTAGATTTCGCAGCCATCTTCACATCGTTTCATCAGGTAATTTCGTAAATTTATCTCCTGAAAATGTCCATACAGTTGTCTGTTTCCCAATTACTGGATTCTCGTTTTCGACTCTCTTCGTTCTCTGCTCACTTTACTATTAGTTCTCATGCCGGTTTTAGCTATTCTAATTAGCATTTGGATGCGTGTGTAACGGTTATCAGCACGGGGAATGGAACTGGAGAGCCGAGTTCAAATTACAACAGTGTCTGTTGCATTGACTTTTCCACTATTTATATAGTAAAGGTCATAAGTCCATCGCTTCTCTGTTTGTGATATTGGTTTAATAAAAAGGTAGAATGAATTCTCTAGCCTTGGGTGGTAACCTGTCTAAAAGAAAGCAACGAGAAATTACTCATCTCCAAAGTAGGAATAGCAGTTTCACTAATAATAAAGAAAAGGAAGCTGTGGAGAGGCTTGGTTGCCTACGTCCAAAATAGATATAACTTTTTAAGTAATTCTTTCCTTACATCAGCTTGTGCAGTTCTAAACTATTTTGATTGATTATTAAGACATGTGGGCTCACGGCCATATTACGTTGGAACATCGGTTCCCGTACGATCACCGAAGTTAAGCAAAGACGAAGCTTGTCAGTACCTAGATAGGTCACCCTTTGGGAATACCAGGTGCTGTAATCTTAAATATACGAGTGGTGTAATGGATAATGGCTTGGAATTATTAATCGGAGAGCTGAGTTTCAATTCCAGTTGGGTTCGTTATATTTCACTTACGCGCAAATACCCTTGGGAAAGGTATGAATCCACATCTCGCCCAAGCTATGGGTTAATCAGTGAAATTTGTATCGTTAAATCTTTATTATCTCGACACCCACTCCCCACAAAAAATATTCTATCGAAAAAATATTTTTTGGTTTTCAATAACCTGAAAAGCCGTAGAAAAAAAAAGAAGACATGTGCTCTCTTTTTCGTTAAGTGTAACAAAGAATTTTGAAAGTCGATTCAATCATGAAGACTTCCAGTTCGCCGCTGAGAATGGTGCCGTGGGATTTGAGGAGACATTCTCTCACTCAGTCACTAATCGCAAACAGGTGAGGACATGTATATGCATCGTATAATAACGTGCCAAGAGACCGTGATGAGCTTCGAAACTGAGAAATGTCCAATGTTGGTAATGCACAAATGAAAAAGGAAAAACTAGTGAAGGAATAAAATTACTCGACCCGGAAATAATTAAACCGAAAATTCAAGCATGCAGAATAAAATGAAAGAAAACGCCGGCAAAGAATCTATATATAAAATTCTGTGATTTCCATTAGTCCGTCCGTCACACCCTCGAAAATAGCTACACATTGACCAATCGAAACCAGATTTTGAGGAGGAATGCAAACCGGTAAAGGAGTACAAAGTACAGTTGGCTTTACTAGGGTGCATAGCTTTGTTAACCATGTTTGCCGTAGTCTCTGAATATGGAATCCAGTGAAGTCCATAATGTCTTCAATATCAGAGGCTGGCAGTGAAGATTCGGAGAAAGTAGCAGCTGTTAATTCTTTAAGTCTTCGATATCAGAGGTTGGCAGTGAAGATATTTTGGGAGAAAAAACAAAATGGCTGCCTTTATATACGTCGGATTGAATATTTTGAGCTTTCTGATTGGTTAACCCTTCTCTTGGTGGACTATAAAATGAGTCAGCTCATTTTGGTTGGCTTACTAGTACAAACATGTGGGTGCTGGAGGATGACTTTGTCGTCTATTCAGCATATGGGGACCGGTTTGCCAAAGGAGTTTCTTTGCTTGTCAGGCGTACACTTGATGCGAAGGTGGTCCTTGTGCATAAGGATGCCGAGAGCCGGTTGATCGTGACTGATATTGCCGTGAGTCGTTGCGGTTTATGCGCCCAATGACCGGGAGGAGTGGGTATCGTTTTTTTGGCGGTTGAGGCCGTTCCTAGTGGATTCAACGCGCCTAGTTTTAATGGGGGACTGGAATGCCATCCTGGACCCCAAGTTAGACAGGAGGTGATCGTAGCCTGGTTGATCTGATCGACGATTATGGTCTCGTCGATAGATACCGGGTCGATCATCCCGGGGCGGGGGGGAAATGTGGACGTGGGCTCTTAACTGGCCTTTTGACAAGATAGTTAGCTACCTTGACAGAATGTTAGTTAGAAGAGCCGACATAGATCTACTAGATTGCCCTATGTTCCATTGGGTAGGCTATTCGGACCACAAACTCGTTTGTGCCTGGGTGGCGTTAGGAAATAGGCCTAGAATGGCTTGGTACTGGAAGTTCAATCTGTCTTTACTGGACAGGCGGGACTTCCAGGAACAGCTAACTAGACTAGTGCAGCGGAAGCTAGTGGGGGCGGATATCGGGAATAAGTGGTGAGAGCGACTTAAGTGTAGGATTAGGTCTTTCACCACTGATTTCAGCAAACGACTCGCTTTAGATAGAGCTGAAAACTAATTAATAAGTTAAGCAAGATGTCTTCCAAGGCGTGAACTTGGGCGCAGATCTGCACAGGGAAGAGGTCCGTCGAGGTGGCGATCGTTATATTCGTGAAGTCGAATCCCCGGAGGGGCGTACTCTTCGGGCCACTGACGACATGTGCGAGGCGTTTTGGTGCAAATTTCGAGAGCCGGTTTACCAAGGAGCCTGGTCTCTGTGAGGAGGAGTTTCGCAGCTATTTGACTGACTTTCCTCGGCGTTCGCCGACTGAAGCGGCTAGCTGCGAGGGAGAGATCACGGAGGGCGAAGTCTACGCTGTATTGGAGAAGGTCGGCAGAGGCAAGTCGCCCGGTCTGGATCGTTTGCCCTATGAAATGTACTTGAGGCTGTCGCACATCTTTGTTCCGATTTTGACTGCAGTGTTCAACAACTGGTTTCGGTCGGGGTCCATCCCCAACCGGATCACCAGGGGTGAGATCACTCTGTTGAAAAATGGCAAAGGTGGTGGGGTGAAGCTAGATGATTACAGGCCCATAACTCTGCTAAACACAGAGTTAAAGATTTTGGCCAAGATCCTGCAGGAGCGTTTGCAGTCAGTTGCCGAGTCTCTGTTTGGTCCTGAGCAGATTTGTTCTGTGAGGGGCCGAACAATTCAGAGCAACCTGCATCTGATCCGCACGATCATAGATGGTGTAAAAGACGACGAAGAAGCCGCGCTGATCAATTTGGATCAGTCCAAGGCATTTGATAGGGTTGACCATCGCTACCTTGCTACTGTCCTGCAGGCCGCTGGATTCGAACCCAACTTCTGCCGCTGGATTAGCCTCCTGTATCGCTCCCCCAGTGCTGTGGTACAGGTGAATGGAAGGTTGTCGGACGCGTTCGTGCTGTCTAGGTCGGTTCGTCAGGGTTGTCCGCTGTCGCCTCTCCTTTATGCTTTGGCGTTGGAGCCTCTCCTTCGCCGGCTGAAGGACTACGTGGAATTGCCGTTCCTGGAGGGTCTCGAGCTAGGGTTTCCGCGTACGCCGATGACGTACCTGCTTTCCTGTCGTCCAGCAGCGACATTGAGGCGGTACAGAAGGCGCTTGATCGATACGAGGTGACAGGGGCCAAGATAAACCGCGACAAGTCATCCGGCTTGCGGTTAGGTGCCTGAAAGGGGGTCGCTCTTCCGGGCCGCTTCAGTTGGACGGACGGTCCTGTTCGCATTCTTGGAGTGTGGTTTGGGCCTGACCTCCAAGCTCCCGAACAGCTTGTGTCCATTGATCGCGCATACGCGTGTGACAATGTGTCGCCCCCGTATTCCGGGGTGAAACGGGTGGTGTTTCTGACGTTTCTGGCCACGGCTCGAATGGTGATTTGGACGACGCGAAAGGAAGAAGTCTTGCGGGACAACTGTCTTTCTTATCTGCATCTAATCCGATTCTTTGAGCATCAGCTCAAGATGAAGATTAGATCTGATAGAAAACGATTGCATTCGACAGTCTTTAGCGAAAGGTGGGCAAAAGAGGCGAGCTTGGTTCGTGTGAACGGGGCTAGCCTTGATTTTCTCTTCTAGGTCAACCTATTGCACATCTGGGTGGCTTCCTTTGGAACCCTCCCCTTGGTTAGGTTAGACAAGCTTCAGTGTACCTAGTTAATGTGAGTAAGTGTTGTTCCTGGCTTGTATCCCGGCTGCTCTTTGGTTATGATCCAAGTCGGGATTCCCAACCTCCCCAGTTTGTTTTGGCCCCTTTTTCATCTCGACTGGGTCAGCTTTATATTTTCCCATTCCCGTATAATTTTCCCACTCCCTTAGCGAGAGAGCCTCTTGATTTTGTCCCCTGAGCAGAATACAGCGGTCTCTCTGTTTTGTGGGTTGGACGGGTCCTACTAACATCAATTATGCTTAGTTTGTATTTTGTGTTTATTTTAATTTATTATTGGGATCATCTCCTCCCCTCTCATTTTATCATTATTAGAATTTTATGTATATCGTATATTCATCATCAAATTTTTATGGCATGGGGCGCGTTTTTGTAGGTTCCCCTGGAGAGGATGTGGTATTATGGTGGATTGAATGGTGATGGATGAGTTCTTGTGGTGAATGAGTAAATTGTAATGTATGAATGGGTCATGAATCTGATTAGCTAGGTATAAGATAGTTAGTGTTGACCAGCCTCTACCCCTCCCCTTTTCGGCCTTGTGCCATAATTATGTATTATTACATAATAAATATACTAGTACAAACATGTGGATACCTCGAGGTGGTGTAATGGTTAGCAAGCTTGGCTTGCTAGATCAATTACTACTGAAAAGTGAGTTCGATCCTCACTGGATGCCCCATTCTTTCGGCCTTGTGCCACATCTAAGCTGCGCTTGGAAAATCTCTACTAGTAGAAACGTATGGACACCTCGAGGTGGTGTAATGGTTAGCAGGCTTGTCTCGCTAGAACATTTACGACTGAGTAGTGAGTTCGATCCTCACTGGGTGCCCCCTAATTTCGGCCTTGTGCCACATCTAAGCTACGCTTGGAAAATCACTAAAACTGAAGTTATCGCTAGAATTTCTTGTCAAGATTTACATACTCTACGTTTCGTTCAATTTCGCAAACCAATCGATGAAATGTAAAAAAGAAAAGATACGAAAAAAAAAAATTGTATTTTTATTAAATTAGTTTTTGTTAATTTAATCATCAAACTGTTTTTAAAATAGTGGGAGTACTTTGTATGTTAAATAATAAAACTTTTAATTTTTCCGAAAAAATAAATGGAAATTTATTGTACTAAGTTACGCGCCCTAGTAAAGCCAACTGTACTTTGTACCTCTTTACCTGTTTGCATTCCTCCTCAAAATTTGGTTTCGAGCGGTCAATCTATGGCTATTTTAGTGGGTGTCACAGACGGACGAACTCATGAAAGCCACATATCATAATTAATTCATTGAGTCTAGAAGAATCCTCAACAGAATGCAGAAAGCACTGATCGGCAATATACAACTGGCCATGCATAAATATTTCTTTCTGGAGCTAAATTCTAATATTCTGAGGCGTTTGGCCTTGTGATTTGTTTATAGTTCTCACAATCGTAGGGCGGACTGGAAACCGGATTCTTGTATATGTAAAGCTTAAAGAAAAAATATGCAAAAAAAAAGTATTTTTATTAAATAAGTAGTTTCATATTATTAAAAATATTAAATTTAGGAACCTAACAATTGTTTTATATATTTTTTCTTTATTTTTGTAATCTAAA